GCAGAGGACACCAGAAATGGGCTTCACATATTGTACACATGTGGGGAATCGAACCTGTGTCTTCGGCGTGACGAGCGAACGCTTTAACCACTAGGCTACCCAAAATGACTGATTGGGCTGAATGCTTTTAGGGTTAGTCTAGGGTCAAAAGAAGGAAATACCACAACTGATTTCACTGGCGCATCAGAAATGTCATATTGTTTACACTTACTGACAACGAAGTCAGGCAAATTTCAGCAGATTCTGCGTCAGTAGATGTTTCTTCACTTGTGTTCAGGAAATCAAGGGACCAATGCCCTGTTCATAGCGACTATTATTGGCGAGCTTGCCAAAACGCAACCACCGCTTAGACTTGCCCTAAGCTCACCTTGAAGATATTATTTACCCTATTCAATTCCGGAAGATAGAATAATGAGTACGTCTTACCTCATATAATCCCAAAAGCGAGAGCGACAAACAAAATGTCCGTTAAAATGCGTCCAGAAAACGTGTTTCCTCCACATTATGCAAATGTATTAAATATGTCAAATTTTCAGCTTATAGCAGAAATATAGGTATCTACTAGTATGTGAGTATTGGTTTCCGCCACTGTCGGAAATATTCCAGCACTAGAGCTGAGGTCTGGAAATACTCGAATCCGGGCCCTTCAAATCAGTGACAGCATAGGTTTTCGTGGTGCAACAGAAGCTAGTGATGGACTCGCCATTTGGGACGGACGACAAATTTAAGCTGTCAAGCAGGTCACGAACCGAGATCACCTAATCCTCAACACTACTGTTCTACCACCGACATCTGAGATTGAGCCTCCTGTACTTCTCGCAGTGAACGCATGTACTGCTCAAATTTTGCTAAGGATCAAAATGAAAAGTGTGGTCCTTAGCCAATGTTGAGTAGTATGTAACATTTAAACCAAAATCGTCTCAAGTCTTTGATGACGACGTGGAGCGCAGATAATAGTCGTATTGTCAACGCAAATTAAGACCATCGATCTACGCAGTACCAAGTCAGCAAGTCTGGCCGCCCGATCCTGTAGGTTTCCTCTGAATTATTAATAGGGTAGCGAAACGCTAATAAGTACTTGAGGAGAACAATATCAGGTGCACACTAGCCGTACTTGAAGCACGGATGCGACCATGGATGTCAACCGGACAGTTATAAATCTCCATGCCCTATCAAGCGATGGAGCCTTACAATACACTGTTAAGAGGTGGAGTTACCACAAATCACGTGCAGTTCAAGCGCAGGTGCACAGTACAATACACTGTAAGAGGTGGAGTTACCACAAATCACGTGCAGTTCAAGCGCAGGTGCACAGTACGGTCTCTCAGTCCCTCGATACAACAAAACAAAATATCATGTTTCTGGCAGTAGGGTTTCACTCGCACACGGAACCGTTCTTGTTTCCATTTCAGTGCCACCGCTTCAGATAATATTTGGGACCATGTCTAAGTTCAAGTGGGTGAGTTAGGTTTTACGCCGCTTTTAGAAATATTCGACCAATATCACGGCGGGGAACACCAGAAATGGTGTTAAATCATTAAAACGTAGTGCAACAGCACTGTAGCTCACTTAGTTATGTAGTCAATAGTTTGAACAAAAGACAGTCACGTATAGATGCTGTCAGCATTGCTATTAAAATGTTTGATGCATACCAACTGAGGACAATAATATTACGAATCAAGTAACTAAGTTTTCACAATGCTTCCTATGAGTGAGTATGGTTTTACGTCGCTCTTACAATATTTCTGCAATATCACGGTGGGGGACACCAGAAATGGGGTTTACACATTGTACCCATGTAGGGAATAGAACCCAGGCCTTCGGCGTGACGAGCGAACGCTTTAACCAATAGGCTATCCCACAGCCTCTACAATGTTTCTAAATCTTCAAGAATGAATGGACTTTTGGAGAACACTGTTGCAATACACCACAGTTAATTTCCATTTACAGAAACTCCAAGCATTACATACATGCCTTCTGAGGAAAATAATGTTTCAAATGCTGTCCAACTGTTTCACGAAAAATCCCACTAACGTCCTTATTCTTTGAACAAAACATGTATTGATAAAGTGAAACATAAATTCACTGGACTTTCAGCCTGGTGAGCTACAAGTGGAAGCTGCAAGCTGGAATTTAAACAGAAATATAAGATATTTTTGCCCAAGCTATTTTATCTTATCATACAAGTCAATTAGATGAATGTTAACCGGAAATAAACACAAGAAGCGTTAGCTGTTGAGCGGAATTACCAATGGAGTGCCACGTGGTATCGACGGACCTCTAACTCACGGTCGGGCGTGCAGACCATGAAACGGGGTATCATAATATTCCATGTGTGGTGGTGAACTGAGATTCAATTGACAAGTCCCTTGCCACAAGTTCTTTGTCGAATGCAATCACTTAAAAAAATGTGGTTACTCAATATTTCGAGAGGTGTCAGGGAGCGGTCATTTATTATAGGGGTGGGTGGATTACAGGGAATCATGGGAGGGTTACCAAATAATATCACATTCTCGAGGGGAGGGTCATAAAAAATGAAACACATATTTGTGGGAAGGTCCTGAATGGAAATTACATAATGTTTCATATAAAAAATGTAAAGTCCTTTTGCATTTTGTTTTTTAATGGATGGTCATGAAAAACAGTACAAGGACGAGGGGAGGGTCCTCCATAAATATAACATGTAATAGGGGAGGGTCATACAGTAGGGGTACGTGCCAAGACCCTTTTGATACGCCGGATGCTTTGCCATGTGGCTGTGCAGTACGTACGAGTGATACCATGAAATATGTATCTGGTACGAGAATGCCAATTTATCATAAAATGGCTCGGTTTTAGGCTGGATGATGCCAACGGATGAAAACGGTGTCCGTTGAGAACTTTGGGTCAAAAACGGATAAAGATGCAAATATGAAAGGTCAGTGTTTAGAAACAATCATGGCGGCGATCTCGAGTCAAACTAACCATCGTGAATCTGGAGAAACTACTGGGATAATTGTTAACATTATGAAAACAATAATCTAAGATAGTGGAACTGAGAACTGAGACGTAGCTGAGACATTTTACAAGTATGGGCAACTTTGGAGATATGAATCGCGAAACAATTTTGCTGGGACACTAGGCCGTGGGATCAGTTTCCACATCCGTGCTAGTGGACCTCTTGGGGCCTTTTCACCAACTTAAAACATTTGGACTTGGCCGAAATATGTCAGAAATGTTTTATTTTGTCGCTGTGTGTAGCCTCTGACTTATTAACGTTATGACAGGACAGGCAGACTCTAAACAAACGTGACGTCTCACAGACGAGGATTAGAGTAGCTTCCCTTACATAAAGGGCAGTTACTCTAGCAGGCGGACCGATGGATTGCCGCGAAAGGCATCTAGAACAATATGTGTAGGCAATTGTTATTTTGCTCTCTCTTTGCACTTATTAACGTTATGACAGGACAGACAGACTCTAAACAAACGTGACGTCTCACAGACGAGGATTAGAGTAGCTTCCCTTGGAGAAAGGGCCGTCACTCTAGCAGGCGGACCGATGGATTGCCGCGAAAGACATCTAGAACAATATGTGTAGGCAATTGTTAGTTTGCCTATTATATAGTTTTACCACTCTCTAAGAAGCAGAAACCTTTGTCACTGTCGGCCTGAACAATCACCGACCTTATGACGCAATGGATGTTAATGCGCACAATCCAGGAAAGCTTGCAATGCTTAGGTAATGTTTTTGAGAGATGAGAACAGGTTTTTCGACGACATTATATGACAAAGAGGTTATCAACGCTTACGTGTTTGGGGATGGTAAATATCCTGTGTTAGGAATTAACACTTTGTATTGAGCTCGCCAATAAAATTAAAATCGCGAGATCCTTGTCTCTTTTTCTTCCAACCTACATATTCACTATTTTCAGAAATAATTAATTAAATTCTATGTAGGTCGCTATTGGAAATAACCCTTTACTTTTATGTAAAGTATTTATGAACAGTAATAGTTAATAAAGCAAATAAAGTATTAGGCGATAGTTCGCATGTTTTACATTCGGAGTATCAACTTCTTCCTTCTGGCTGCCGAATATTATCGCCGAGAGTGAGAACAAACAGGGCCAGGTATTCATTCATAGCTGCTAATAGCAGGTTTAGGAATAAGTTCCTCAGTTTAAAAAAATATGCGTTTTTGTCCTTTTTGCCCCACACTTATTGAAAACGAACACCATTTTATGCTTATCTGTCCATGTTATGAATCGCTCAGAACAAAATATTTCCAAGGTTTACCCCAAAACATCAATACACTAATCAAGCTCCTCCGTTTTAATGAAATATCTAACGAGCAACAAAAGAATACTATCCTATACATTAATTATGGTTTACGACTTCGCAACCGTCTTTGTACAAATGATGTTTAATTATTCTTGAGGTTTTTTGCCTTTATTAATCAAATGCTGTAATCTCTTCTTCTTGTGTTGTGATGCGATTTATTTTTCACAAAAGTGTACACGTGCACATATCTGTGCATATAAGTCTGCATGTTTATACTTGTACATGTACACAATTGTATATATATATATAATATTATTGTATGTATATGGGCCTATGGCCTGAATACAATAAGTGATGATGATGATGATGATGATGAATAAGTTTGTCATTAGAAATTGATGAGCTTGATTTAGCCACATTAAATGTTAATTACGTTTGTGATGCTCTCATTTATTTGTATGTGTGTTTATCAATAAGCTGAGACCTTGTGCTGATGTAACCCAAATTTCCTTCGGGGTAATAAAGAGTTCTCTTATCTTATCTTATCTCATGTACTGAAAAATATATATCAGTCGGTCGACGATTCTTTACGGAAATCAATGGCTTTTAATAGAAAAAAAAATAAAGACAATAACTTTTTAACAAAAAAATCAGTAAATCAAATATATTTCAAGAAGTCGAGGCGTTTCAGCAGAGAAAGGGTTTTGTCGCGTTTACAATTGCCTCACTTGTGTTACTTACAGGCACTTATCGGGTCATGTGCGGGCCACACTTGCCCCCGGGGAAGCATCTGCACCCAGGGCACCGCTCAATGTATAAAACGTGAGTACCCCCTCAACCTGACTGAACATACACGTGTGCTGATATAGAACAGGTACTTGTGTCGTAACAACAATATGAGTGAGTGAGTGAGTGAGTATGGTTTTACGCCGCTTTCAGCAATATTCCAGCAATATCACGGCGGAGGACACCAGAAATGGGCTTCACACATTGTACCCATGTCGGAAATCGAACCCGGGTCTTCGGCGTGACGAGCGAACGCTTTAACCACTAGGCTCCCCGACCGCCCAAACAACAATATGAATGGGAGTTGTTGTATGTTACCAGTGTTTTGATTGTTGATTTCGATTTGTTTACCGTTGCAAAAACAATTTCTATTAAACAGTGACCAACTATTATAACATTTTCTAATAAAACTTGTAAACTGATTGAATGTTAATGATTAGTTTTCTTAGATGTCATATGCAATCTTTTTTCTTTGGCCGGGATGGTCAAGAGTCCGCTGTACAAAGTTGTGTCCCTTAGCCGTGCAAGGCTTTGCTGATTGTAGATTGGGATCCTAGATTTGACCCGATTTTGGTTCTTAAACTTTCGGCACCATATCCGTCCGTGGACGTCACTTTGAGGTAGTGAGGAGTGGGTGAGTTAAGTTTAACGCCGCTTTGAACAGTATTCCCGTTATATCAGGGCGTGTAAACTACCTAAGAGGAAAGCCCCAAGTGATGCAGGTCTTAGAAGTTTACCACTTTTGTGAAACCTACGAGAACGGGTATGGTGCTGACAAACCTACCATCTTTTAACGTCTTTTGGTATGACGCGGCCGGGGATCGAATACCCTCTCAGGGCGGGCGCTCTACCACTAGACCACGGAGACGGTCCTCCCGCTTTCAGAACAAGTTGACTGTAGAAAACCACATACCCTCATTAAAAACATTTTGTGTTTTGTCCTAACCTTCATTTCTGACTATCAAGGTGGGCGTTGTGTGCAGATCGAGAGTGGGAAGGCTTTCTACAGAGGAATACACAACGTAACCAGGGAGGGCCGGACATGTCAGCGATGGGACTCCCACACACCCCAACAACACTACGGTAAGAACGACTCGCCCAACAACATGCAGTCAGTCACCAGTATGGCGGAGGCGGGCAACAGGTGCTTGCCTGAGTTCAACGACACCATACCGTGGTGTTACACCACAGATCCCGCACTGCGCTGGGAACACTGCAGCATACCGAGTTGTTAGGATGTTGCCGACGTCACTTGGAACACTGCAGCATACCGAATTGTTAGGATGTTGCAGACGTCACTTGGAACACTGCAGCATACCGAATTGTTAGGATGTTGCAGACGTCACTTGGAACACTGCAGCATACCTAATTGTTAGGATGTTGCAGACGTCACTTGGAACACTGCAGTATACCGAATTGTTAGGATGTTGCAGACGTCACTTGGAACACTGCAGTATACCGAATTGTTAGGATGTTGCAGACGTCACTTGGAACACTGCAGTATACCGAATTGTTAGGATGTTGCAGACGTCACTGGGAACACTGCAGTATACCGAATTGTTAAGAACTATCATGATAACAGGGTCGCAAGTGTCGTTATATTTTTAATATGAAATGTATTTGTATTTCGAAACAAAATCCTAAATATGGCATTATTTATTATAGTGTGCAAAGTCATTTAGGCGTATCAGAAATGTCGGTGTGGATTTCTTTGAAGTAGATCCCGAAAATAATCATTATCAAATGTCCCGTAGTTGACATCAGACTACGTTACTCTTTCATCATGGAACCGTGCGGAGCTTGGGCTATTTTGTGCCAGCCTTAAAAATGACAAGTCAGTTTCCTTTAAAACAATATCCAGAGAAAAATGCTAAAAATATTAAATATATTACCAAACAAAATTGTTTTAAGAAACCACACATACACAATACCAGTATCACTGTAATTCCATGTCCAACATTTTTAGTTTCAGTCTCTCGGCCTCTGTCGGTGACTCCACCCCACTAGGATTCTGCTGAAGTTGCTGACGCCGAACTTTGGCAGATTTCTGCCGCTCCTTGAACTTTTCAACTTTCTGCTGTCGCTCAGTTTCATTTTTCCGCACTTGCTCATTGTGACGTTTTTCCTTTTCTTCGAGTTTAAGGCTCAAAGCCTCCAGTTCGAGTGGCGGCAGTCTCGATGCACGTGCAGCATGTGGATTTGCGTCCTCGTCAAAGTCAAGGTCATAACTTGTGCCGCAGCTCGTTTGTCGAACGATCCCCAACTGACGCAGCTCACGAAGAACCACATCCGGGTTCTGCTGCTCCTCGGATCCAGCTCCGAGAATTCCCTCCCTCTTCAGCTCCTTTCGGATGGCACCGCCTTGTAGTCCTAGTTTCCCATATCTCAGAGGTCCAAGTGAAGGCCCCATTTTCCCATCGCTCTTCTCTAGACATTTGTCCATCGGATGTTCATAGGAAGGCAATTTCGGATACTGTAAGATATGATTCAGCTCGTGTGGGCGTCTATTCTGTAAACTAGAGGATGCATCACACATCAACCAAGGTGACGGGGTATTCAAACGAACTTTCACTCTTCCCAACTCTCTCTTGTCCGATGTGTCAGGGTCCAGTAACGGAGAGCGAAGCAGATGCCCTGTTTCACGAGGCTTCAAGGGACCTGACATACTTTCTGGGTCTTTACCTTTGAGCGTAATGTCTGATACTTCTCGGAATATATTCTGGTTAGTGACATCTCCCTTGTTTGTCTCTTGAGTATTAGATGAATTGTCAGCGATGATATTCCCTCGTGTTGTTACTGGACTTGGAGCCATCCACATTAGATCTGATGCATCTTTTATGTGGCCGTAGGTCTCTCTCGCTGCCATTAATAACTGAGGGGAGCCCGCCTTTCGATGGTTCTCTAGTCCAACTAAACACTTATCCTTTCCAAAACGTGTGGCACGGCGGGGCGCTTTATCCATAACTAATTTTGCTGTATTTCTCAGCGGTGTCTTTTCATAAACGTTGGATATGCACGGTTTTGTTGTCACATGAACCGCGTCACAGATAGCATCATTCATTGCAATCCTATTAAAACTATTACCTGTAGAAAGAGTATTCACAAATCCTTCAACGATGGTATCCCTCTCAGAATCAATGCTATACACATTCACGGCGCCATGGTCTTTGCCCCCTCTTAATTCAGGTGTTCCACATTCCCGGCCTTCCTTTGAAGACGCAGACCCCATTACAACAAATGATCAAAGAATTCTATTTACAGCCATCACTTATCAGTGGAACTGAACATTCTAGACTATCGGCTATGGCTGTTACATGAATTCATCGTGACGTCATCGTTATTGTGTGAGACGTCACATCCTAACTCATGACGTCATCGCTCTGTGCATTGTTGCTAACGTGACGTCACGACAATCTTGATTTATTATCTTGATGGTGACAGATGCAGGGGCCGCGTGATGGGTGCGGCCGCAGGTAAAGCGAAAACCCCGAGAAATGGGAAAACTTGGTGCGATCCTGTACAAGAGGTATCTATCAAATCCGAACTGGCTGAGACGAAAGTCATTCCAAGCACGACAACTGTTGCGCGAAAGTGTGAAATCAAGCCTCTTGTTCGTACACATGACGTTCTCCATAACCGGAGCAATTCACGCCCGGTGAGGAGCACACGTGCTTTAAAGAACAAAATCATGCAGTGTTCGCAAGAGAACAACGCTATGAATACGACCCGCTCCGTCTGCTCGGAGCGAGAACATGAGCGGCCACCATTAACCTCGTCTGGCAGCGCCGGGTCCTTCTGCAGAAGCACGATTCAAGACAGCAGGCCTGCCGTGAAGAAAAGATTGGAGGATATTCCTGTCTCTCGCATGTGGCGTGAACAATGCGTAGGGGAGATCACACACACGAAAGTAGTCACTCATGCAAGCAATGCGCAGAAGGAAAGCCTTTCCGTGCAAAGGAAACCAATGGGTATGGACGAATCCATTCTAAAGGACATTGATGAAATCGAGAGCAACTATATGGCTGGACAAAAAGCTATGCAGACACACCCTTGGTCATATCACAATCGCGTGAAGGCTCTCGCCGTGGAAGTCCAAAAAGCAAGCTCAGACCAAAGTGGACTTGACTCTGCTCCAAGTGATAATGCGAAGGGTCCCCCAGCGAGAACAGCTTCCGATACTGGTGGAGATAACTCTGGCTGCACTGGCACTGCTTCCGCCAACCAACAGCCGTCGGGGGTCTGCAGGCGGCCAGCCACGCCGGCTGAACCAACGTGGTTGAAGCCGCGTCATCTCAGTGATTACTTTGAGAAGCGTCGTTTTGGAGAATGCGGTAGCAGAAGCAGTACTCCTCCTTCTTCTAATGGAGGAGACCGGCGTTGGATGCAGACCATTCCAGACGGAGAGGAATCCTCATATAGCCGCTCAGGCCAACCATTTCCACGCAGAAGGGCCAGAAAGGACGTCGAATTTCCAAGTTTTTTCACCTTCTGAGTTCATATTAAGCTAGCTTTGGAGGATTATATTTTGATGATTTTTACATGGTTATTATTAATACTGTTTTACTTTTGAGGAAATATATAATGTTAAATTATTTCACAAATATTTGTTCCATGTACATTGATATTATTAAATGTAATTATTACAGATGAAATACATATTTGATTAAAGTATTCATGAAGGTACTCAGAATACAACGCATCCATAAACAGGTCAACGGAGGCCAGGTACACAGGAGTGCCGTTTAAATCTGGTCTGAATGTATATCTTATAAAAAGAATAATACTGGAGGTGTTTTGCCCGATAATAATACACCTGTTATTTGTTATCACGCCTACCTTGAAATGTATGTGGCTTGTATATTTAGCATGATAAAACCACGCCGTGACATCAGCATGCATGTACATATCAAAGATGCTGGATAATAAATACTGTGATAATATTCTGATTCACATACATTTACTCTGTTATTCGTCAGTATAATTGTTATGTAAATGAGAGTGCTAAACGCTGCTTTGGCAATATTGAACCTAGATAATAATGGGGGTCACCAGAAATGTATGTTTCACAAGATATATGCGGAATCGCACAGTCCTCAATGTGACAAACGACATACCTCATCCCGTTGAACCGCCACCGTGGTCGAGTGGATAGAGAGGCAGGAGGGCGGAAGGTCAGTTGATTCCCGACCGCGTCATACCTGAAGATTCTAAAAGATGGTACATGTTGTTAATCTGCCTGGCGCTCGGAATTATTGGCAAAGCCAAGGACTGATCTGCTCGGAGTCACGGTATCTCAGTGGGCTATCACTATAAAGCCGGCATTAGTCCGGACTGCACACCCACACTCACACTCACACCCCCACACCCACACACCCACACCCACACACACACACACACACACACTCACACCCACACACCCACCCACCCACACACACACACACACACACCAACACTTCCCTAAAACGTCTGGTCAGCGGGGACAATGTGTTATACGCATAAAGTAGTGGAGTTACTGTATGGAGGTTTCTATAAATGAAACATTAACGTCCTTTTGGTGAACTTAATACAAATGTTTGTCAAAAAAAAAAGGCAATACCAGTGTGCACATTATGAAAATATCAGAATTAAGTGCACTTACATGCTTTACCTTTAAGGTAAAAAAGACCCATCAAGTCAGCTGGCTGCCGGCCTGTTCGGATATCATGACGTCATCGTGTTTGATCTGAAGCACGGGAACTCGTTATTGGTCAGTAAATAAAAGTATATACCCCCTATATATGTTCTCTACTTACATATAGGGGGTATATATTTGTATTTACCGACCAATAACGAGTTCCCGTGCTATTTTCTTGTTTGCGGTTACGGTTGGCCGAAAGTATTGTGAGCGTGATGGCGGACTCAAGATAAATCTTATTGTCACACAAATATTTCACTGAAAGTAATTTTTTTAAACGTGTGACACGTCATACTAAGTTCGTTTGGGGGTTCCTGTACACCCCTCTAAGCCAAGGTACCACATTGCATATAATATATAATATTCCCTGAAAGCGATTCTTACAAGTAAGAAATCAATTTATTGTGAACTCTCAATGCTTAATTTTTCATGTGGTATGTGTAAATAGAACTAATTTCTTCAACAATACTAACTTGAACTGACCTTACGCTCAACACATTTCACAGCCTCTGGAGTCTGGTGGATAGCGCGTCTGTCAGGAGAACGGAAGGTCGGTTGATCGATCCAACAACCGAAAAAGACGCCAGAAGATGGTACTTGTTGTTACTCTGTCTAACGCTCGGCATTAATGGCATAAAACAAGGAGAGATCAGCTACTGTCTACGTAGGATATGCTGGAACATTGCAATGCAAGTGATCACAGAAATGTGATATGATTTCAAACAGAATCCTCAGCATATCTCAGCACATGACACCGTTTTGCTGGAGACATGACATTAGGACGCCTTCATGAATTTATCAACTGTTGATAGGCCATTCTGCTTATCTTTACTGAATATGAAAACAATGTTTTTGACATTTTCGATGACAGTCGGTCAATGTCCTTGCCACCCTCCACAGCAATGATAAGAGCTGACGCAGAGAACAGTAAATGTACACAAATGTGCACAAGCATATATCTGCAAGTATGGTTATTCACAGCTTTCATTTAAAATCCAACATATGGAGCTATTGATATTGTATTTATCAGATGTATAAGACTCCCTTATTATGATTACTGAATTTTCTAGTTGAGAATTGATTTATTTTCAGGAAGGTAATAAATTTGGGTTAACTAGTTCGTATGCTGGGGCCCACAGTAGATCTTTCTGTGGATTCTACAAATGAGTACTGGTGTACTTTTGAAGTATGTGTGAAACCAGATATATACGAAAGGCTGCACCGATTTGTTGAAGTGTATTTTATCTGGTCGGGTTTTCAAAATCCAAATAAATAATGTCTTGGTTAAGGGCTTGAGGGTCCCTAATGTTTTATTTTATCTGATATATCTGAGATGAGATATCTGTATATGATCTCTGTTTTGACAAATCAGTCAGTGGCACAAAATAACAGGAGTCACACATCAATTTCCTTTCCCTTCCAAATTGCTATACTACTCTAGAAGGAAAGGGAATAAAATTACACCAGTCACAGAACTTTTCTGACAGGTCTTTCCGACATATTCTGCCATGGACTCCCCAAATAAGGCAAGACAACATTCCAAGACAGTGATTGCACAGTTAGTCTGACAAGGGAGATAACTGTTATACCTACTGCCATCATTTGATGAAGTGAGTTCTGGTGCTGTATTTTCTTAACATGTTTAAAGAGTGTTCTGACAATGAATTTGTTGCTTATAACGGCAGTCAGCAACATTCAAGCCATAGGCAGATAGCCTCTACGCAATCCAGTAATCCAGCATGAGGTGAGGTGAAATGGGGTTTAACCTTGAGTCCAAGATTATTGTACTTATATAGACACCTGCATCTGTGTGTGGCGGCTTGTGCTAGTCTTGACTGATGCCGACATATAGTGGTAGCACACTGAGATACCATGCCATAGTTTAACATGAATACCCCACTGAGACACAGTATACTGACTCCGAGGCAACCAGTCCTTGTTTTAGCCCCTTAATGCTGAGCCCCAGACAGGGTAATAACAAGTACCATCTTTTAACATCTTTTGATATGACACGTCGAACCAGGGACCTTCTGCTATCCAGACGGATGCTCTACCACTAGACCAAGGAGGCGGTCTAATCCAGCATGAATCTGACACATCAGTGATTCATATTAGAGTGAGTATGTGCATTTTAGTCCACTTTTAGCAATATTCCAGCAATATCATGGTGTAACATGAGAAATGGGCTTCACACTTTGTACCCATGAGGGGGAATCAAACCCAGGCTTTCAGCGTGACAAGTGAACACTTTAACTAGTAGGCTACCCCACTGCCATCAGGTTATAAAAACACATGATCAACCAGCCTAAGCACCTGACTCACGTAGTAGTATAGGTTGCTGGGGACAAATGTTAACCTGGAATCTCATTGGAGCTTGCCTTAATGACTAAGATGGCGAGGGAATGTTTTAAAATGTTCACAAAATTTCAGGTGTAATAACCCTCTGTTGGGCCATCCAAATATTTTTACGTGTTTCACATCTCAAACATTTACCGGGGAAAAGATATGAATAAGATAAAAAAAGAAAGAAAACTGTTTTTCACAGGCTATATTACATATTTTATTACATTTTATAGTTTAGAACACTTAATACTAGTCCTTAAACATATTTTTGACAAAGATCGAGTTTCTTTGCTTCGGAAACAAATTTTTAATAAAGTCAAGCTTACATGGTTTTTTTAATGAGTGTGCAATGGTAGAAGTATTGTTTTTATGACATCAGGACATAAATTTCCATGTTGTTGGAAATTGTGATAAGAAAACTTTTTATTATTTCACAGAATAAAAATTCAGGGGTAACGGGGGGAAAAAACAGAATAAATTATGGACAGCCTTATGATTCTTATGACAAACAGCACTGGGGACCTTTTCTGACCCAGGATTCCCACAGGGTGGTCAGAGTGTGTTAAGCTTGTTAACTCCTCTTAACCGTTAACAACAAACAAGAAAGTCAATGTTTTCATAATAGCTCAGTATATTGCACTTTGTACAGACTGTATCCATAAATGAATATTAAGCTGAAAAGAGAATGAAAAATAAACAGTTAAGTGTTAGCCTCATTCTCGAGCACAAGGGTTGCAATGTCATCTACTGAAAAGTAGGATATACTCACAAAGAAAAAAACCCTCATACTTTGTATTTTAAAAATATGGTTTCAACTTCTACATATAACTTTTAGATTTAATACCAGCACCTGTCTTCTACATAAAGCCAAAAAAATATAATTTAAAAAATGAAAAAAATGCTGTCTACGATGACTACACTTGCCCATGATTCAATAAATAAATACAAAATGATGCTTAAGATGCATAATTAACTGCAGTGATTGAAGTATTTCTCACATCATTTCACCAACAATGTCAACCCATGTTCACATTACATAATGTCATTACTCATGACAACAACTTGCAAACATGACAGCACCATGCGCTTCACAAAGCATGACATCACAGTTGTCATGGCGACTGATGAGGATTGTTCCATGTTCACTCTCAACCAGTGTGGGAGTCGCGGAACTATTTAGCCTTCACAGGTGAGAGGTCTTCTGTCTCCATCTCCTGGGCGATGTTACACCAGTCTGCCACCTTCCCCGTCTGGAGGTAAGCCTCCCGTGACAGCGACTTGCTCTGAAGGGTCTCCAGTGCTCCTATCACAGCACCTGCAACAGGGGGACAATTTTATACAAATGATTACTCATGAGGTCAATATGCAAAAACAAGGAACCGAGGAACTGACCCCTGAGGTGGTCAGATCCCCGAAGGGGTCTGGGTCCGAGGGTCCTTATTTTCGAATATTAACCTCATCCAGAGTAATCATTCGTTTTATTATACTGAAATTCACTTTAAAGTTTATGAGGTCTTCAAATCGTCCTCTGTTTCATTACAGTAGTTTACTTGCTAACTGTGAAATGGTTGTACCTGATGCCATCTTGTTTTCTAGCAGACGTCAATAGTCATCAAGTGACAATACTGATCATGTGACGAGTCAATATTCGAGGTCGGTGTCAGTCACATGATTTGGGGGTCTACATTGAAATGTATTGTTTCGTCACGTGGAATGGATTAACAAGATGCAAGATTCTTGACAGATTAAGTATACTCACATGAAAAGAATCAGGTTGTCCTGAACTTTTTTTGAGTAGTATATTACACCAGGGATAGAAAGGTATGATTTATCTTTCATTAGTCGACAAAAATAATCGGATACAGAGTTGCCATCTATCTAACGGCAAAAGTTGGAGGTCACAAGGAAACTCCTTCCTACATTGTACTCGTCACTGACTAGCAGACTGATGTTTCTTCTGACACAACTTGACGTTTACTAGTAAACAGTATACACTTTCAGTCAAATTTAATTAACAACTAACAGAATTCCCATGCAAATGATGACAGTTCACTTTACAAAACATCTATAGAATATATAGTGAATGTAAATTCTGTAGATATTGTAACATGTATTGCACACTGTCACTGTTCTATTGTTCATCGTCAGCTTCTTAGGTCTTAGGCACTGTATATAGGAACAAAATATAAACCGACAGAAATTTAAAAAAGTTTGGTTGATGTTTACACTTTTAGCTTCTTGACAGGAGTGCATATTGATTTAACCTTCCATAAAAGTCAATATTCTTGTTTCCTAGCACTGCCAATATCAGAGCCACCTTTGCATAAAGCATTTTATTTCTTCCTTTGGACACAAAATCAGATTTGAACATCCTGGTAGAAAATCTGTACCAAATTAACAAGAGTCATCAGAAAGATGACATATCCCACCGGCAGCTGTCTGTAAGGTAACCACTAGTAAATGTGCAATTCTGTATGTAATGAGTCAACAGTTGAATGTTCTTTAAGAAGCATACATTGTTTACCCACTGAATGGTTTTCGAATTCTGGTCATAAAAATTGTAAAAAATAAAAATTCGTAAAAAAATATATATCAAAAAGCACCACTTCAGTATGTGCCTGATAGCTTTGCCAAGTTTTGATCAAATACACTGAATGGTTTTCGAATTCTGCCCCGGAAACGAACCCCATCCCCAATTGAGTCTATGTCCAACTTCATTCCATAAAAATTTAAAAAAATAAAAATTAGAAAAATCCCAAAATATCAAAAGGCACCACTTCAGTATGTGCCTGATAGATTTGCCAAGTTTTGATCAATTACACTGAATGGTTTTAGAATTCTGCCCCGGAAACGAACCCCATCCCCAATTGAGTCTATGTCCAACTTCATTCCATAAACATTTTTAAATTATTTTTTTAGAAAAATCCCAAAATTTCAAAAGGCACCAACCACTTCAGTATGTGCCTGACAGATTTGCCAAATTTCGATCAAATACACTGAATGGTTTTCGAATTCTGCCCCGGAAAAGGAAATTATTACGGACGGACAGATGGACGGACAGACAGACTGGCTGATCGCTATATCCCCCCGAATTATATGCCGGGGGGATAAAAACCAATATACTGCCTGCACATGTGCACAAATCAATTTTCAAGTGTCTTTGTCTATAGTTCATTATCATGATTTTATTTCAAGGTCAGGAAATAACACAACAACACACTAATTTCCATGTGGTGACATCAGCCTTGTTAAGAACAGCAGGGGCCACTTGCACAAAGCCATCTTAGCGCTAAGATGATCTTAACCCCCATACTTTAACATAGGCTTACGATAGTCTTAGTGCTAAGATCGCTTTGTGCAAGTGGGCCCAGGTCTCACCTCCAAGCCAGGCTGTGTAGTTCTCCTTCGAGGGAGGCTTGTGGAACTTGAACACTTTGAGAGCAATGGCTTCCTTGTACTTGGGTTTCTTCAGGAGATCATACAGCTCTGCCCTCAGCCTGTGGTGGAAGCCGGGCATCATGGCTGTACCACCCATTATCACAATATTCTCAGACAGGTCACGACGCAAGTCAATTGGACACTGCAAAAATAGTTGCAATTAATCACTGATTCACATTTAAAAGTTTTAATAGCTGTTGTAAAACTAACATGTTCATAATAATGGTACGCTGATTGGCTACCTCCTATTAGAGTAAACACATAGCGAGTTAGTGAATTGGGTTCAAAGCCGCTTTAAACAGCATTCCAGTTTCAATACAGAGTGTTGGCTTGATGTGGGAGGAAACCCGAAGTGATCCTGATGATGCAGGTCTCGGACGTTTACCACCTCAGTGAAACAGACAAGCATGGGTATGGTGCTAATAAGGCAAGAAACACAATGGGAGTGACAGGGATTCGTACCCAAATCATAGGATTCTGGCGTGCCCAAGGGATACAACTCTGCACAGTGAATTGCAGTGCCTCAGACAACTGGGCCATCCATGTCCCCAAACACATAGTGAACAAGCCTTATTGCTTCATGGCCATAAGAAATGTTGCAGGTATTTGTATCACAATGTCCACAGATGTAATGACTTTCATACATGGAACACTATAGCCCAACCTTATCCTGAATGTTTGAAAATTTATACAATTGATCAATTTCCTAGTTCTGCTCGAGATAAGGTTCCTGTATTCCTTGGGCGGTTGGGTAGCTTAGTGGTTAAAGGGTTCGCTCGTCACACCAAAGACCCGGGTTCGATTCCCGACATATGTACAATCCCTGCGGTGATATTGCTGGAATATTGCTAAAAGCGGCATAAAACCTCACTCACTCACTCCTGTATTCCAAACAATACCTCTACCATGTCTACAAACTGTGCATTAAACTTCGTGAGCATTATATGATAAAGCTTAATCTATTTTCAATTAATTTCTTTACCAATATGCATCAACATTAACAAATCTGCATGAACTAATCATGATGACGACTAGGGGAACATCTTTGGAAATTAGTTCAAATATTAAACGTTTTACTTCTTGTCAGTCTGCTGGCCAGACAGATGTCTCTACCCTGGCAGGAAATGAAACACAAACTGCTATATTGACCTCAATGAGGGCATCCAGAATGAGTGTTGCCACTGATCTCTCATCACGGTCTTGTTGGAACAGAATCTCACAAACATGTTCTCTGTGGAGAAAACAGAGCAAAATAAGGAATTACCGCTTAGATAACAGACAGTGTAGCAGTTTTAGTATATAGTCCTTTACTTAAGGAGATCAGAAGGCCCTGCCTGGTGCTTGGCATTAAGGGGATAAAAGGATATCTTGCTTTCAAAGTGTGACTGAGTAGACTATATATGTTAAACTGTGGCATGATATCTCAGTGGGCTAGCACTATAAAACACTAAGTCTGGACTAGTACAACCAGAAACACAACATAAGTCATTTTTCACCTCACATAAACTTGACGTATCTCCGCCCCCTAGATAATGCAGATGCTATACCAGAGGCAGTCACTGTACAAACCTATCTCATGATATCTCCACCCTCTAAATCATGCAGATACTAAACCAGAGGTGATCAATGTACTGACACATCTCCACCCCCTAGATGATGCAGATCCTATACCTGATATAGCAAATGTATTGACGTACCTGAGTTTACCATTGATGTGTAATATTTTCTTCCCATCCAAGGGGTAGTCTACATCCGGGGGAGGTGTCGGCAACTGACAAAAGCAAAAAAAAGGGGTTTATTCCACAAAGTCCGGATGACTGACATGAACACATGTAACTCATAAACTAGGATGGTAATATTTCACTCTTATTCCGTGACCATCACAATATTGGAAGTAAAAACACAATTCTAATTGACCCGTGAAGATCCGGGGTAGAATAGGTCTTCAGCAACCCATGCTTGGCATAAAAGGCGACTATTCTTGTCGTAAGAGGCGACTAACAGGATCGGGTGGTCAGGCTCGCTGACTTGGTTGATGCATGTATCCCAATTGCGTGGAATGATGCTCATGATATCAATCTCTGGACTGTCTGGTCTGGGCTCGATTATTTACAGGCCTCCGTCATATAGCTGGACTATTGCTGAGTGCGGCGTTAAACAACAAACCAACCAAACCACAATTCTTATTGATTTAATTTCACAATTGGTGTAATAATCATATCTTAAGTCAAGTCTAAAACAACCATCCTCAAGTATCCAGTGTTTCATATGACATTCAAATCTCCATGCTATTATGACATAAACCACGGATCCATTCGTTTGAGATACAATGCAAAAAGTGGACATCTAATCAAATTACACTGTACTATTATAATGGGAACCAATTTCACCAGACTCATTTCAGCTTGTGCATGACGTCACAAACACAACTTATAGCATTCAAGGACTTCCCTCTCCCGTCTTTGAACTAAGTAAAACATCTTTTCCAGCCAAAAAAGCATTGCAGCATGTTAAAATACATTGAAGGCTCGCACAGCTCAGGCAGTAAGTTTTAATGTAGACCCATGCCAAACACACATGCAAGCTCTAAGCTCTGAGCTAAGGTATTGATAGGAGAGATGAAGCTGGTGAAATGAAGCTATGGTGCCGAATGACTCCGGATGTGGATCATAATAGAATGGAGATGCCATACACTGGACGTCGAGGAAGAAAACAGTAAGCCTGTTGGAGATATGCTATAGCACAAACCAGCCATGTTTAAAGCTCTTACCTTGTTTATATCAGCTCCTGCTACTAGCACTTCCTGGATCTGCTTGGCTCGACTGTGGCTTGTCACAAAACAACACTGTGCTGAAAAATGCACAATTTAAGTGATTAGAGAATATGTTCGCCATTAATTATCACAACCAAAACTACAACTCAACTGGTAAACATACAAAAAAAGATTGTTAAAGAATGTGAACGTTCTTGACAAATCTGAGGGCTACGATGCTAATCATGCCAATGAATAACCAGTAAGTACAAAGCATGTTAATATATTCTTACCTTTAATATTTTCCAAAACATCTTCATTTAGATCATCTGAAAACAAAACAAATTCCATAAGTTTATCAAAATTCATTATGAAGGTTATCAGGAAGTACATGTGCTCCAAATTCACTTGTAAACATGTTTTCAGAAGTAGACAATCTTCATAAAGCAGATTTGATAAGAAACAGTAGCTAACAAGGCACTAGCATTATGGCTCGAGATATTTACTTTATTATCTCAACTCAAATCATCCCTAGGGGCATTGAGAACCAATGCAACAAGAACTCTCAATGCTGGTGGACACCAACCTGTGCAGGAGCTGAAGGGTTTGTTGGTTTGTTCTGATGTCGTCACAGTGGCATGTTCCTTCAACTGGGCCTCAATTTGACTGAAAGGTAACCATGGTAACCATACTGTAATGATCATCAAAGAAATTATTGTGGAACACACTGGTGAGAAAGCAGGACAACAAACAGAAAATGGAGCTTTCCATGGTGGTTGGCATTTTCTTACCCCTTTTGTAGCCTGGCACAGTAAACTTTATTTTGTAAGTGCAGTATGATCATTGATGACTTACAAACATGCTGGTTCATAACCATTGAACCATTGTGTTGAGCCACAGAGGATCATGATATTCTTCTTGACTATCATAGTGACCAACCAATCCCCATCCAAACCAATCATCCTTCCTAACAACTGGCACATACCAATTAGTTCAAATATGCACCCCTGTGAACACTGGTGTTAGAATTGGTCTTCAGCAACCCATGCTTGTCATCAGATGTGACAATTTGGATCAGTGTGGATCGTTGCTCACAATATCAATCACTGGAGTGTCTAGTCAAAACTTGATTATTTACCGAGCAATGCCATATTGCGGGAATATTACTGAGTATGGCATTAAACAACAAGTTAACAAAACAAAGTCCTTCAGCTTAACAAATCTTGGCTAGAGAGTAGTCTCCCTATGAATGTGGACACTACCAGAAAAGGTCCTCCCCCCTGAAGGCAGGGTTTCACTGTTCATGTGATCCCTTACTGTTTGTTACTTAAATGAAAGTGTTAACCATGCTTTCTGTAGATGAAGACTTCATGGAAGACAGCATATGAACTGAACAACATGTTGAGAATGTCACGTGTGATCATGGATTAGTTTATTACATTGGTAACATTTCAAGAATGGTCGCTGGTTTTGAAATAGGCAACTGATCCGATGATACACTGATAATCGATTAATGATCATTCATGACGGAGAACATAAAAATCATTACATTCTTTTTCAGTATCTGTATATTTTTTGTGAACATGAAGTATAAAATAATAAATACAAAAGCAAAACTGTCAAATAACACAAGTACAAATGACCCACTGGAAACATTCCCACAGCAACATGCCTTCAAACCTTGTATGTTATCAGAATGTTGTATTTTAACACATTATACTAAACATGCTCAATATCATCATCCCCCGAAGATTCATCAAAGTTTAACAATGCTGGCATAATTTGAAAACATAATCACAGATTTTTCTCATTTCCAATAAATCATGCATGAAATCATTGGAAACTAGAACAACACAATTTCTGACTGATTAAATTGCAAATTTTCCACCTTTCCAAGATTACCGATTCCAAATTCAGTTGCTCACCTGTGAATTGCCTTCCCCCCCAAAGGAATGGACTGCCAAGCCTTTAGTACTGGAATTCCTTCATACACCTTCACACGGTCAAGGTAGTTTTAACACACATGGATTGAATATTATTAACATAAAGGATGATGTGATCAAATCTTTAATCCTTATTCCTTAGACAGATTATTTGATGGCATTCATCATAGTACTGTAATGCAAATCAATCATCTAAAATGAAGTGGGTGATATCCTGACACAGTAAAAAACTGTAAACTAGAATACCTTGTGGCCATTGAAAATATACCTATCTATCTGTTCATTACTAGATTAATATAGATGTAAGAAAACATGCACATCAGTATGCACCGGCAGTGAAATAATGCTTGAAACAAACATGGAAATATAATATTATATTATTCCTTACAGTTTGCAACTTTTTTATATTACCGAATTTTCTTGAGTATAGTGCACACTTTAAAAAAAAAAACAGCTGGGTAGAAGGGGGAGCGCATTATACAGATTGCCGCTATTGACTCCTTGAAACGAACTTTAGTTGACAGAGAATGGATACATATATCATAAATGCTATACTTTGACTCGTTAAAAGTCACATTTGTTGTGGTTTGACGATCTTCTCGCAAGTCTTTTGCTATGATTTTCATGTTGAGTCATTAAACTAGGTTTAAGAACTAAGTAGCAGTGAAGTGTGTACATGGTTTAAGTAAATAATAATCCCAAGTATACAAAGGATATCATTACTATTTTCCAGTTGAGAATGACAAAATTATTTGCAAAAGTTCTTATTCACATTTTTCAATCTGAGGTTCAAAGTATGTCTTGCAAAATCTGCTATACTACCTAGATGAAGAATTATGTTCTGGAATTTTTCAGAAAATGACACAGAACATGAAAGTAAGGAAATGCTAGAGAATTCAGTCGGTGCCACAGGAGCTTAGCAGTGTGAAGGATACAGGCATGACCAGCACCTCCTTGTAGCCCATGTCCATCACCATCCCCGTGCTTGTCCCCAGCACCAGCAGACACACCATGTGACTTGGGGCAAACAGCACCGAGCTGGCCTGGCAAAATACAGCAGCATACAAATTTGTATATCAGATTTCAAGTACAATTTATAATGTTGACACTGTTTTTACATATTTCATTTTGTTTGTTTGTTTCTTGTTTAATGCCGCACTCAGCAATATTCCAGCTATATGACTGCGGTCTGTAAAGAATCGAGTCTGGACCAGACAATCCAGTGATTGACATCATGAGTACCGATCCAAGCAACTGGGATATGATGACATGCATTAAAGAAGTCAGTGAGCCTGACTACCCGATCATGTTAGTCGCCTCTTACGACAAGCATAGTCGCCTTTTACAGCAAGCATGGGTTGCTGAAGACCTATTCTAACCCGGATTTTCACGGGTATCACATATTTGAAAAAAATACTGTTATTTATAAATACGGACATTTTTACAAAAGTGCACAAACCTCATACTGTCTGAAGAGAACACTGGCTAAGGTATCTCGGAAAGATGATGGACACAACAAGGATTCCACCACCACTACACGGCGATCTTTAGGATTTACCAACAGGTGCCTGGAAGGAAACATTCATTTTAGTAAGCCTTATACCAATGTTATACATGTTAGTATTGTTACAGCTAATAATACTCAATAGCACATATGCCTTTTATAAAGCTATTACTGTATCACCGCATTCCCCTCAATTCCATTAGGTTCCTGACAACCTTGGGTAAGCCTAGTAACCAGTTCATCTTCCAAACCCAGGTTTTGAAGCGGTTCTCTTCCAAACCTAGGTTTTGAAATGGGTCACTTCTAAACCTACTTTGAGGTTTTACTCTTCAATTGTAATACTAATAAGTTTTACAATTTACGTTTTATAAACTTGCCTCTTGATGTAAACACATTTGTTTGAGGATTGGTTAAAAGTCACAATTTTGTTTACATGACTTAAATCGAACCTGCAACCTCACATATCGTGTTTCGATTTGTAACCCACTGGTTTCCCACTGAGCTACCAAGGCAGGTGATGAGAAGTTGTTCCAATTATCAAGCCATGACTCCAGCTAGTCCATGCTGCATGTGTGTTTTCTCTCGCACGCTTTCAGCGAATTCCTTTAATACCATGATACACTGTATTGTTTCCCTATAAGGTGGGTCGATGTTTTCTTATTTTATTCGTTATTTCTTGCATTTAGATGGTTCTTAAGTTAGATAAAACCCGCCCCCTTGGTTTTGGTTGAAAATGTAAACCAAAACCTCGGAGGCGTGTTTAATATTATACATAATCTACACCCCACCCCCAACCTGAACACACACGAAAGGCATTGTGAATCACAAGTAGTGTGTACATTTGTTTTGGGGAAAGCACATTAAAGTTACCTGCCCTTTGTTAAAAAGCCTAACACTGGTTTAAAATGACACGGGTGGGAACCAGAAACATAATTCTTTTTGTTGGGCACATGCCGTGTGTAACATGCTGTCAAAAACTTTGACAGATTTTTTTACGGGACTTTGATGGAATAGTGAGTGAGTGAGTGAGTTTGATTTTACGCTGTTTTAGCAATATTCCAGCAATATCACGGCGGGGGACACCAGAAATGGGCTTCACACATTGTACCCATGTCGGGAATCGAACCCGGGTCTTCGGCGTGACGAGCGAACGCTTTAACCACTAGGCTACCCGACCGCCCCTTGATGGAATAGAAACTGATCCTATTACTCGTCATACTTTGATCAAAGTTTGATGACGTTGATTTAATTTAGCCAATCAGACTGCAAGGAACACTTACCCCTTTTCACCTGGAAGTGCATAGAGTCAAGTCAAAATGAGTCAACTAATTTTGACTGACGAGATGTTGGAAGAATTAACTGATTTGTTTCAACAATGAGCAGCCATTCTCGGGATCAAATATGCCTTTGCCTACCCTGACGCCGCCTTCTCAACATGGCAACACACAAAATACATATGACAACAGCAAAACATTCTTCGTCAGTAGCATCCACCTTGGCAAGATAATTCAGTGTAAACAGTCCAACTTGGGCCTAGAAAACTTGGTCAAAGTTTTCCGTGACCATGTTGACCAAGTTTTTGATCCAAGTTTTTGACAGTGTAACAGGGGCTTCAGGCTCAAATCAATGAAGTACTGAATATACTACTAGGCAACTCACTTGAAATAGAGCACATAGAGGAAATCTTTCAGGTTATCACATAAATCACTTGTAGATGCGTATTCCCATAGTTTCGTAATCTGAAACAGAAGTACAAGATGCATGCAGATACCATGATTATGTCAATACTTCAATTACTTCCTACATGTCATTAATTGTATTAAACAAGGGATCTATTAACCTGTATTTCATCATCATGTAGGTCTTTACTTGAAGCCATGATCCATACAGATTTACTACAATAAGACTAAGGACCAAAGACTCATGAAGCACACAGAACTGTATAATAACTACAATATACAGTGATCCCTCGCTATTGTGCTCTTCGATAAAGCGCTACCTCGGTTACTACGCGCGGTAAGGCATGGCTCCCAAAAATTATGTACACTTTTAATACTGAGCGTTTTACACAGACATGATTGTATTGTTGTTCCTTGTTCATTTGCACATAACGCTTCTCATCGCACAATCAACCGTTTATCGCAGAATGGAGTTCTAATAATCAGTTTGAAAACATCCGCGGCAATCTTCCTTAAAATACCAAAACAAACATGGAAAGGGTTACATATGTTACAGATTTGTCTTGAAGAATGACACTGCAGTGTTGTACAGATCACACACAATTATCTGGCTACGATGTGGACATGGTTGACTGGTATGTGTACAATTTAATGTTTTCTTACAAAATATTCTGTAAGGGTTTATATATATATTTCACTATGACCATTATATTTTGGCATATTTCTCAACATAAAGATTTCTTGGTAGTTGTCTCGCTGAGGTAAAGTGAGTGAAAAAGGAATTCTATTATGAGAGATTCGTGTTATATTATCTTGAGGTGATAGGAATACGCAAGTCCATCAGTCCAGTCACTCGGGGTCAGCCGAACTTTGAGAGCACGAAAAATTTAAAATTTGACAGTCTCAGACAGTCTGTATAACATGGTATAACAAACCAAAGAAAGCATGATGCTGACAGATACTGTCAGCTAACATTGCCTGTTGTACCTGCAATAAGCAGACGGCAAAAGGTACATGTAATTCATATTTCACTACGATCACTTTGTTTAGGTCTGGAGGGCTTCTGGTAATCATTGATGACCTTTGAATATGTAACACCATACCTTCCCTGTCCTGGAACTCTTCACTTCACTGGGGATGATACATCTTGGACCCGTCTCTCCCGCCAGGCCACATCTGACAGATAAACAAGTCAAACTTCTTGAAAAAGTGCAATGATGAGCATGATTTGGTATTGACAGTATCTAGATAATCACCATCTCATGTTGCTTGACATGAATCTAATACCAATGACATGCCAACTAATCATCAAAGTGTTTTTCAAGTTCACCTTTGTATGTTAGGGTTATTATCAATATCATGTGATTAAGGTTATAGCAAAAAATGTCATTGAGTGAAGGGCACCAAATCTGATGAAAACAGAAACTGATTTGGCTTAATATGGCACTGTATTGTCATATGATATTGCCAGTCACATCTTTGCAGACATACATAGAAAAACTTTGGTAGGTATGTGATATTCAAGTTCAAATTCAAGTGAACTGTTCTTTAAAAACAAACAATTGATGTTAGATTGTTTTGTTTGTTGTTTAACACTGCAGTCAACAATATTCCAGCAATATGACGGTGGCCAATAAATAAATTGAGCCACACAATCCGGTGATTGACATCATGAGCATCGATCTACACAATTGGGATACATAGATCAACTAAATCAGCTTAAGGGGGGGTAGAAGTGTGAACTCAAAGTGACATTTTTACTCTCAGACTGTTATGTGTGCTGTAGGCATGGTAGGTAAGTGATGTTGGTGGTAGATACGCATGGCCAAATGTAGCTTCTATGAATAGGCATCCATTCATTGTAGGTGATTACAAAGCCGTTGAAGCACTGGCAGCAGTTGACGGTTCGTGCTAGTCTGCAACTAACTATTGGGCTCTGCACTCTGATGTAGCCAGGCCGACGGACTCAAGTCAACAACAGAAAGTCAAAGTATACACTACTATGCACACACACGCTTCGATAAGAAGTAACTTACTTAGTATAGGCATGGCCAATATCAACGACAACTACGTTTTTGTCCCCACCATACGCAAGACCTTCATATAATGGCATTTTCTAGACACGGCATATATTTTTCATAATAATTCGGTGACAGTTCTGTTCCGGAAGTTCTGAGAGCCACCTATCGACTAAGGGAGGCAACTCTGCAAATTGCTGTGGAAACCTTATTGTCGATGGTCATCGGTCAAATCTTTGCAAAGTTTTTGTGTAAGGCGCCATGTCAGTCATACTAAAACGGTTATTAAGACAACTGTACATGTAGTCCTACATTTACAATAAAACATGTCATAATTAGATATGCAGTTATTAAATTCGGGATAATGTACGAAATTACGAATCATAAAATATGTTAGGCTGCACATAGGGTCGGATTGCGCAACCCACGTTTTGGAGCGTAGGCATACTTATCATATTGTCGTACAAAAATCATACAAATATGACAATTAATTGACTAAAACAAACACAAATTGTGACTACAGTTATTTCTATTTATTTTACAAAATTTAAGCGCACACAACATTTTCAAAAAACGCATTCCCGCTTGACCCTTCATTAATGGTCGTCATGATATTATCACTGATATCAGGGACTGAGAAATACCCCGAAGACCAGACTGTTTGTTTTTGGTTCGTAGGTCAAAAACATAATTTCAAATGTTTTCGTCATTATTCATTGTTTTTTTGGAAATGTTTTTAAAAGATTTTCCTTTTATGCAGGTTTTAGTTTATTGTATTTGAAACAATTCATTTATATTGATAGCGACAGTAAATGAGGATTTTTCACATTGACGTTATTTCTGGTAGGTGGGATGACAAAACCCATTGCTTTTCATATTCTGAGAAGAAATTCCCATGTATTTTTTTTTGGGGGGGGGGATCGGCGAATTAGTGGGCATGTCGGTTAGACCCATCTTCCCGAGGCAAGCGTTTTTTTACACAAGCCTTTAGCTTCTGGAAACTTGACTTTGATAAATAGACTAGTGGACGCTCTTGCCTTGGGCAGACGGGTTGGACCAAGAGAGTTCAGGCGTGTTTTATTATAAAACCCAAACTAATTCACTCAAATACGCATCTACTTCACCAGTGTTCGCAAGCAGATGGACCTGCTCCCAAAATGGAGGGGTTCACGAATCAATTACACTAGAGTACACTGCACTTGTAAGATGAATCAACGAGAATTAAGATTTTCGTAAAATTTATTGAAAATCCGTGAACAAGGAGTCAATAAAAACATGGAACACGAAGAACAGTTAGGTTTCACGGCAAAGGGAATTCTGCTCGTACTATGTTGATCATAATCTATGAGATTTGCATCAATCATATGTAATACAGCAACATGAAAACAATATCCGATACAAAAAATAATATTTCAGAGGGCAAATACATGGCAACAGAATAAGCAGTAGCAGGACAAGAGGTTAAAAAATTAAATAAGAAGAGAGCCAGGCCGTCAACACGCAGAGCTGTGATTCATGAGTTTGTGTTAAAAATGAAGATGTTACTGTAGTTCAGGATGATGATGATGATGTTGATGACCTTGATGATGACCAACAACATATTTCCAACATGTATCAGGTGAGATAAAATGGGGGTTAAGGTCGCGTCCAAGATTATTGCACTTATATAGCGACGTGCATGCACGTGTGTGTCTCTGTGTGTGTGGCTGCTTGTACTAGTCAGGACTGATGCCGATTTATAGTGCTAGCCCACTGAGATACCATGCCGCAGTTTAACATGACCCCACTCAGACACAGTGTACTGACTCCGAGCCGACAAGTCCTTGTTTTTGCCCCTTAATGCCGAGCGCAAGACAGGGTAACAACAAGTACCATCTTTTAACGTCTTTTGGTATGACGTGGCCGGGGATCGAAACCCCGAAATTTCCGCTCTCCCGGCGGACGCTTTACCACTAGACCACGGAGGCGGTCTCCAACATGTATCATCTACCTTTTCAAATGATACCCTTTTCCTCCGATAGCTGCTGGTAACACTTACATGGACAATATACAATAACAATATACCGGAAACAGGATTCGCTAATCCGGACGATTTCATTGGGCACGCTAACATCAAGTGAGTGAGTGAGTATGTGTTTTCGCCGCTTCTAGCAATATTCCAGCAATATCACGGCGGGGGACACCAGACATTGCACCCATGTCGGGATTCGAACCCGGGTCTTCGGCGTGACGAGCGAACGCTTTAACCACCAGGCTACCAGACCGCCCCGCTAACATCAAGATTAACATCAATGTTGTATGAAATATTGAAGTATCCCTAGGGAATGGAAAGCTGAGCAGTATAATCAGGATTCATTGTTTCTCCGAGCGTGGCAATAACTTCACAAAAACTGGGTGATGTATCCGTGGAAGAGGTGTGTGTGTGTGTGTGTGTGTGTGTGTGTGTGTGTGTGTGTGTGTGTGTGGAACATGTATACTAATACTTCAATGTCTAATATTCCTGTAGGGACCAAATAAAAGACTGTCGAGCTTGTCTGTCAATCTTGTAAGGCCAAAGTAGTGAGCTTCCTGACGCAGTTTCCTCAGGTCCTGTTCGGTCTCTGGGAGAGTCGTCTGCCCGTCGTCGCGCAGGAAGTTAAGAATGTAAGGGAATAATGTCGGATCACGATCAATGAAAGGGATGTCTTGATGCTCTGCAGCTTCCCTAGCAATAAAGGCCAGTCTGGACGGGAACTTGTCAAGGGTCATCAAAGATGTCACATACTCTGTACCTCCAACATTCAACGTAATCGTCGTGGGGAGCCTCTTTTTCACGCCATCTTGTGGAAAAGGTTTAGACGTGTTAGATTTTTCACCTGTGTCACCCCTACCCCTTCCACTTTTGACAACGGGTTTACTAACGGTCTCTGTCATTTTAGGATTCGTTTTACTCGTAACAAGGGAAACTTTCCTTGGAGATTTCACGTTTGAACTTATTACAGGGCCGGCGACCTGCGCTTCCTTTGATTCGGCAGCGCCGGCAGCTTTGCTTTTACCAGCCTTGGTTGTTTTCACGCCTGCACGTGGTTTAGTTTTATCGGGAACGTCTGGAGGTTCCGAGTCTGTGTGTCGGACTTTAGAGCCCTTCAATTTTGGAGAAGGAGCTGTCGTCATCTGTTTCCTTGGCTCAGTCAGACCATCCTGTAGAAGTTTCTTCAGAGTGTCGTACTTGGGCTCCTCCTCATAGTCAAGACCAGATACACATTGGAAGTAGGACGACAACACCACTGGAACAAAAAACAAACCATTACCTTGCAACATTTCCCTATCAGGGTCCGATGAGCGTGGGTTTAAATCCTAAATTCGGTCTAACAATAACCCTTGAATATCGACCAAAGTCGGTATGCATCGCCCAGACACGGTATCTGCAGGTCGGTATGCCACGCCCAGACACGGTATCTGCAGGTCGGCATGCCTCGCCCAGACACGGTATCTGCAGGTCGGCATGCCTCGCCCAGACACGGTATCTGCAGGTCGGCATGCCTCGCCCAGACACGGTATCTGCAGGTCGGAGTGCCTCGCCCAGACACGATTAATTTCAGGGCGCCGTTATATAGCTGTCAAACTGACAACGGCAGCATAAAACTCCAAACTATTGGTGTATTGTCAATAGTAAGGTGATGATGGCATTGACGTTGTCGCGAGATCGATGTTGTACTTCAGACCGCTTTACAATAATAAACCAACCACAAAGTGATACTGGTCGTAGATGTTTACAGCCTGCACAGTACTGAGACAACAATCAAAGGTGAATAAGAGATTCCAGCCCGCAACCAGCGGAGGTACGCCGCCAACACAACCTCAGTGAGCCACCTGACGATGGGGATTTAGTCCAATCAGAGGCTTGTAACCCAAAACAGCAAGATCCATGGTCACTATCGGTGTCATAGTTTGTTTGTTGTTTAACGCCGCACTCAGCAATATTCCAGCTATATGACGGCGGTCTGTAAATAGTCGAGCCTGGACCAGACAGTCTTGTGAATGACGTCATGATCATCGGTCTACGCGATTGGGATACGATAACATGCATCAACCAAGTCAGCGAGCCTGACCACCGGATCCCACTAGTCGCCTCTTACGTCAAGCATAGTCACCTTTTACGGCCAGCATGGGTTGCTGAAAACCTATTCTATCCCAGATCTTCACCGGTGGGTGTCATAGTACTATCCTTTTATGTACTACCATGACAACGGTAGTGACCATATATCTTGCGCTAATTTGGCGGTGAAGTACTATGACACCGAAAGTGCTGCTCATTTTTAGTTTACAAGCCAATGTGAGTATCACATATGTACTGAAGCACCATAACAGTTTGTACCTCTTTCCTGTGAGTCATCCATCGATGAAAGTGTGTCCGAGTGTACGTTTGAAGTGATGTCCTCTTTGTACCTGAAACCAATACAAGAGTATATATAACAGTAATAAATCCAACATATGGATGTACGTTTCAGCAGTAAATCAAATGTAAGAGCACCATGTTGTACATAGAAACCTGACCCGTGAAGATCGGGGGTAGAACAGGTCTTAAACAATCCATGCTTGTAGTAAGAGACGACTATGCTTGTCGTTAGAGGCGACTAACGGGATCGTGTGGTCAGGCTCGCTGACTTGGTTGATGCATGTCATCGTATCCCATTTGCGTTGATCGATGCTCATTATGTCAATTATTGGAGTGTCTGGTCCAGACTCGACTATTTACAGACTGCCATCATATAGCTGGAATATTGCTTAGTGCGACGTTAAACAACAATTAAACAAACTTATCGGTTAAGCAGTGAAGTCATGGTCATTTTTCATACATGATCTTTAACATTTCAAAACAATATGGGTGTAGCAGTATCTATGAATATGCATCTTAAAATGAAATTATATGTAGATATCTTACTTTATCTTAGAATCTCTGACGTAGTTTTTGTCTGAGAGTTTGTCCTCCCAAGGTAATCTGCCACACAGCCACTGCAGCAGACAGTAGCCCAACATCTCCAGGTCGCCACGTCGTGACTGGGCTGTTCACAGATCAATGGATACAGCAGGGATCAGTGTTGTCAGGGAAAACAGTTTCGTGATATATTTAGAGAATAACCAACGAGATATGAGTTATTACAAATGTCCTAAGTGGATGAACGACGTACGTCGCGAACCTTCCACGAGACTTAGAGTATTTATGGAAAAGTCCGGACTTATGCTGGTTTTATAGTGATAGCTTACTGAGATATGCCAGTTTAACCTAGATACCACACTCAGACTTAACATGTGGACTCCGAGACATCTTTTGGTATGACGCGGCCGGGGACAACTTGATGACTGCACGAGTTGTAGCCGCAGATTGCCTGGACACATTAATACCAGAAAAATGGTTCGGGGCTAACGCCAACTGTAGTCAGTTTATATATTGTATCCAGAACAAACGCTCTAAAGGTTTGAGACGTGATATCAACAGATCGATAAACAATAAGTATACATTTTATTGGTATCTTCGTATTATTCAAGATACATCGGACAGCATGGAATTAATAATGTGTAAATATGAAATTTATGCATCCTTAATTGATCATCCAGGGAAGTGCATATAGTTTATCATGAATAATCGGGGTGGAACGATAAAATGACTCTTGTTCATCAACATAGTTTGAACTTTCAATTTGGACGCATAATATGACTTAAATCGTCACTTCTATGCATTGACCCATTGGACAGTTTGTTTGTTGTCCAACGCCGCACCAAGCAACATGACGGCGGTCTGTAAATAATCGAGTCAGGACCATACAATCCAGTGATCGATTTTGTGAGCGTCGATCTACGCATTTTGGATACGATGACATGCATTAACCAAGTCAACCAGCGTGACCACCCAATCCCCTTAGTCGCCTCTTACGACAAAGGTTGCTGTAGACTAATTCTAACGCGGAGTTTCACGGGGATGATTATATACAGCTTAGTCCCAGCTTACCGGCTCCCCTGTGGGCATCAGTGCTCATGTACAAGGTGGGGCAGTCAGGTAGGAACTTGCTTTCCTCGTACGGCTTATGCTTGCCGCCTACCCTATACTTCTTGGCCAGGCCGTAGTCCACAAGGTGCACCTGGGGACGACAAGCAGTACTGGCAACGTTCATTCTCATATTATGTTAAATTGACTACTAGTCGGATGTGACTGTGGTTTATGATAACCCAGCAATAGTAGAGTTATATGAAAACGACTTGTTTGTTTGTTTGTTGTTTAACGCCGCAGTCAGCAATATTCCAGCTATATGACGGCGGTCTGTAAATAATCGTGTCTGGACCAGACAATCCAGTGATTGATTTGAGCATCGATCTACGCAATTGGGATACGATGACATGCATCAACCAAGTCAGGGAGCCTGTCCACCAGATCCTGTTAGTCGCCTCTTACGACAAGCATAGTCGCCTTTTACGACAAGCATGGGTTGCTGAAGACCTTTTCTATCTACGGATCTTCACGGGTCTTAGTTTACGATAAACAACGACCAAGAGTCCTTTCTTCCTTAAAAGCGATATAGTCATTATATATAGCCTCTTTAAGGATGTTAGCAGAATTTACAAACTTTAAAAATAATTACACGTAATTAATAATTAGGACTCTCTGAACCTAATCCGATCTCGGCAATGCAGGTGTGACAGGGTTAAATCACTCCCCATTTCACTCTAAGAATGATTCTGTCCTGGGATAGTCGATTACGAGTCGCTTATTTCTTACATGAGATATCAGCAATACGTGCAGCCTCTTTAAGGATGTTGATAAACAGTTCTACCTTTAAAAGTATTTACCCGTATTTAAATAACGATGACTCCCTGAATGCAAATCCGACCTCGGCAATGTCGAAACAGGTCCATATTATGAACAACGGGTAGAGTTTGGAACTTCCTGGATATTCTCACAACTTTCACATCGAGTATCTGCACCTTTTCTCCCAATACCGATTGTTATATTTCTCCCACTTTGGGTCCGATCCTTTGGTCATTGCGTATATCTACGTTGCCCAGCTACATCTATGGGGAACAACTCACTATAGACACTTCCCTCTCAAACATAACGTCCTCTAGTTTACGACGTCATCAAGTTGCGAGCGCATGTTCGAATCTCAAGAAATGACATAATAGAACAATGTTTTATCGTGAAATAAAAGCACGCTTCGTTCTTCTTTGTTCTTTGCGATTTATCGCGTAGCTAGCTGCGTCCCTCGTGGTGTATTCTCCCTGCAGTGTTTTATTGTACTATAAACAACTTACATTCGTCGTTTATTTCTTAAATAGAGTACTACCACTCGTCTTCCATTTACGTAATTAAGTCCCAGTTTACCTTAAGAAACTTGTTCTCGAGATCACACGTATACACAAATGTATCTATAACCCGCACTGCATACAAGAGTGGCATTTATAAAGAGATTATAAACATTATAGATCAGATCTGCAACGACACACCCTACATGTTGATTATGAGTACAGCACACGGCTGTTAGTTGTTCATTGATGGAACTTTACAATTACCGTTTTCTGTTTGTCAGAGTCTCCTTTGCTGTCGTCGACGATGATGTTGGCAGGATTGATGTCACCGTGCACGTAGTCATGTTCGTGGACGAACTCTAGACAGTCGATCTACAGAAAGCGGGGATGAGGAAGATGAGTTATTGTGTTTATTGAAGATAATTTAAGGAGGGTATGTCTCATTTTGACTTCGAATGTTGAATTTAAATTTGTGTAATATATCTAAAGTTGTCAATATTGACAACATACATCTGCAGTGAGATGTATTTCACTGCAGAGTAATTTTGATTTATTGCAGCTTTGAACAGAAATAGCTACCCCAGCGAGTCCGCGTGACGTGGAAGGAAAGCCCAAACAGATCAAGGACACAAATAGAACCAAATGCTCCCTAACAACTTTGAAATCTACTTGTTTTGTCGAGCACTTTCACCCTACGATATACGTGTACATATATGGCGAGGGAAATCCCCATGCCTGTCCCAACAGCCGACTAAGTCAAAGTCAGGGGAGAATATGACTAGTATGCTGTACGTGGCATAATGGTCTGTGAGTCAAATAGTGCTGTATAACGCTGCTGTCAACAATATTCCACATGGACCTGTAATAATGGAGTCTGCATCAGGCACGAGCGCAACGACCCACGGCATAGGGGCATAGTGAAACAGTTTCATTGTCCAACCACCCGATCCCCATTGTATTAGTCTTTACGTCAGGCGTGATGTACCGAGGATATATTCAATAGGGCTCGCGTTAAGAAACTTGGTTGCTTGAACCAGATGCATGTTGACACAAAAACTTCGTTGCAAGAAACAAAAAACCTGGATGCATCCTGGTCCCATAAATTTGAAACACAGGCCGGTCTGCTGCCAGAGTCACAAAATTAATGACGCATAAAACGTAATTGGAACAAGTACCCACGGTTTTATGACGTCATGCCCAAGATAGAGCTACAAATTGCACTAACACAGGGATTGGGATGTAGTATGGTAAATAAACCTTAGGGGTACTGAGAGTGTTCCAAGGTTGACTTTGTGAGGACAGGTAAGGGTTAGTCAAACACAAATTTGAATCATTATACATCTTTATACGCGATTGGGATACGATGACATGTATCAACCAAGTCAGTGAGTCTGACCACCCGATCCCGTTAGTCGCCTCTTAAGAAAAACATAGTCGCCTTTTACAGCAACCATAAGTTGCTGAAGACCTATTCTACCCCGGATCTTTAGTAATCCCTGAAGGATGGGGGGAAGTGTGTCTAAAGGTATTGTATATTGTACCAGAGCTACGGCCATGTCCGATACGTCCTTCAACGCCAGCATCCGACCTGTCCCCAGGATCGTGCCAAGGTCAGTCCCAAGCCGCGGCAACACCAGAAACCTGTAAGCCTCACCCTCGTAGCTATGCGTCCCGTGCCCCCGGGGAACAGGGATTCCGAGGTGGGTCAGATCCCTGTCCTTAGTCCACTTCTTCGCTGTAATATCGACAACCATATAACTGTACACAACACACACACACACACACACACACACACACACACACACACACACGTTTGTTTGTTGTTTAACGCCGCACTCAACAATATTCCAGCTATATGACGCCGGTCTGTAAATAATCGAGCCTGGACCAGACCATTCAGTAATTGACATCATGAGCATGGTATACGATGACATGCATCAACCAAGTCAGCCAGTCTGACCACCCGATCCCGTTAGTCGCCTCTTACGACAAGCATAGTCGCCTTTTGAAGCAAGCATGGGTTGCTGAAGACCTATTCTAACCCGGATCTTCACGGGTCCACACAAATGTAACTTAGCTGATACAACGTTCTTTTGTTTTATAGATCGTGCACTAGTCAGAGTCATCTAGCTCACAGCATCACTTCGTTTATTGTGAACCTGAAACATGCGTCCATGCCTCAATTATCATGTCATCACTCGAACACTGACATTATAGCTGCTAGTTAAGTTAAGAAGGTTTTACTGAACGTCCTAAACGTTTACTTTGTCAACTGATTTGTGATTATATATATATTGTGTATTCAAGGATCATCTTCAGGTCATTGATAGAGAAAAGTTAATATTTCATCAACCCTGAAAGATAATTATCCTTACTGTTTAACAAGGTTCAACTGTTTACTGAAGGAATAACTATGTCTACTGACCTATCTTGGCAACACCCATCCCCTGGTAAACGACGTGTTCATTGAACAGGTGGCCACTAGTTTTATTTTCCTGAAAAACAGACAATGTCACAATGTCACAAATGCTTGCTACATAATGTTACAAGGCAATGCATGCTTGCGTGCCCTCTTGTTAAACTTATACGCGGTTTCTGAAACATTCATTTTTTTGTTAATGTCGCGATCAGGAGTTCGTTAACAAGTATTGCTATAACCGCTGCTAATACATTTTCTTACATATCCAGTTTAAATTTGACGAGAGTGTAAGTTAAATGCCGATTAATGCGTATCACGATATTGTGTACACTATATGGTGCGTATTGCCACATATTTGTACACTATATGATGCGAATAACAACACATTTTGTACACCATGCGATGCGTATCATGACATATTTCGGAAACTATACCAGGCATATCACGACATATTTTGTACAATAGTTCGATACCTATCACGACATGTTTTGTACACTAGTTCGATACGTATCACGACATGTTTTGTACACTAGTTCGATGCGTATTGCCACATATTTGTACACTATATGATGCGAATAACAACACATTTTGTACACCATGCGATGCGTATCATGACATATTTCGGAAACTATACTAGGCATATCACGACATATTTTGTACACTAGTTCGATACCTATCACGACATATTTTGTACACTAGTTCGATACGTATCACGACATGTTTTGTACACTTTACGATGCCTATCAAGATATTGTGTACACTATACGATGCGTATCACGACATGTTTTGTACACTTTTCGATGTGTATCACGACATGTTTTGTACACTAGTTCGATACCTATCACGACATGTTTTGTACACTTTTCGATGTGTATCACGACATGTTTTGTACACTTGTTCGATGCGTATCACGACATGTTTTGTACACTAGTTCGATGCATATCACGACAAGTTTTGTACACTAGTTCGATGCGTATCACGACATGTTTTGTACACTAGTTCGATGCGTATCACGACATGTTTTGTACACTTTTCCATGCGTAACAAGACATATTTTGTACACTAGTTCGATGCATATCACGACATATTTTGTACACTAGTTCGATACGTATCACGACATATTTTGTACACTTTACGATGCCTATCAAGATATTGTGTACACTATACGATGCGTATCACGATATTTTGTACACAATACGATGCGTATCAAGATATTGTGTACACAATACGATGCGTATCACGACATATTTTGTACACTTTACGATGCGTATCACGAAATATATTTTGTACACTATACGATGCGTATCGCGGCATATTTTGTACTCTATATACGAGGCGTATCACGGCATATTTTGTACTCTATATACGAGGCTTATTCCGGCATATTTTGTACTCTATATGATGCGTATCATGATATTGTGTACACAATACGATGCATATCACGACATAATATGTACACCATACAATGCGTATCAAGATATTGCGTACACTATACGATGCGTATCACGACATATTTTGTACACTATACAATGCGTATCACGACATATTTTGTACTCTATTGATACGTAGCACAATACGCTATACCATACACACTATACGATGTGTATCACGATTATATTATTTCGAAACAGCATCAAATTGAGAAATATTTGATACGAAGAAACGCTGAATCTGTTCATCTCGCGTGATTGAAGATAACACCCAAACACGATGAGACTGAACCACATGTAGAGCTTCATAGAACAAGGCAATGTATAGATCAACATAAATTTGAAGACACAATGTCCAGAAATTTTAAATCGTTGAGATTAATATCTAAAAAACCATTTGGTTAAATGCAGGATCTGAAAATATGGTTGTCACTGATATATGAATCATATGCAAATATATATAACATGGGGTGCCACCGCTTCAGATAATATTTGGGGCCATGTCTAAGTTCAAGGGTGTGAGTGAGTATGGTTTTACACCGCTTTTAGCAATATTCCAGCAGTATCACGGCGGGGGACACCAGAAATTGCCTTCACACATTGTACCCATGTGAAGTTCGAACACAGGTCTTCGGTGACGAGCGAATGCTTTAACTACTAGACTACCCCACCACCTCACTTAAGTTCGAATAAGAGAGTTGTACATTGTGCATTATTCATGCATGTAAAATTAAATTCACTCACTTGTCATTCAAGCTTGCCAGACTTAATATTACTTCTATTCATCTTGAAATATACAACATATACATGTTTATATGTATATGCATGATGAGAATCATATAACTAAAATATTTTGGCCTAATGTTTGGACTAGCAGCCCACAGCCGATCTTAAGAATGTATATGTCAAGCAATAATTGTGAATTATATAACACACACCAACCACATCTTGAATCAACAAATATGCACCATCAGCATAAAGTGTTTAAACGACACCAACTGCTGGTTTAAGACGCCTACACCGTCGAATTGCCATGGTAACACTATATTACGGACATTCCTGGGAATGTTCCTGAGGACATATTTAGTGTATTACACAAAACTATCTTCGTACTTAAGGAAAGAAAACAACATTTTTATAGCTACTGTAAAATGGTAAATTTTAAACATCTCACTATTTTCACGACGTCTTCTTCCGCGTCTGACCCAGCAGCATCTGATGTTGCTGAGAAAAGAATGTGATCGCATTATAAATATAATACATCTGAGATCGGGGCTTCAAATTAATTTCGACTGCAAAAAAAATACAAATCACGATATACTGTTCATATACTGTTAAATCAAGTAAATGACGCTGGGCAAAAGAAAGTTCACACCCATGTTTGATGGTGGCAAAAAATAAAACAAATTGTTATTCGATGGTGATGTATTTAATACGGGTATTATCGGCGATATTTCCTGCATCACATCAATGAGTATCTCACAACAGGTGACGTGTCCATAACGTCAAAAAACACGGGCCCAATGTCAGACTACACACTAATGAGCAGAGTGAAGTAGGTATTTTATGATGTATAAACTGCATATTTTCTTTTGCGGGGCAGTTCACATTACATTATATTAAGACAGCCTGTAAATAAGCAGATCTAGATCAGGAACACAAGTGGCTGACGGCATGAAAAACGACCTCTGCCGTTGGGGTACGATGACACGACCAACCAGGTCACGAACAGACTTATTGCATGCATTGGGGCTGTTGTGTAAAACAATCCACGCTGGGATGACATCTGAGTTCTATTATCTTTCAAGTTCACTGGCTCAATTGTTCCGAGCTCATGTATGTATTTTTACCAGATGTTGCTGTGAAATCAGTATGGTTTTCAGATCAAATTAAACATGCAGAAAAGATTTAAATTCTTAAACAAAAGCATGGGATAAATTTCAGCGAGTAACTACCTGCGTATATAGGTCCCACGTGGCCTTCAGCCAGCACAGATGCCAGTCGCCATTTCTTTCCCAGTGTGTCTTGGAGTACCTCTCCCGTCAGGAGGGGCTCCGTCTTTTTTGTCTTGGGAGGTTTCACGAGCTCTGTCAAGTATATTATTATTAATCCACATAGGCCTAATAATTAACTGCGACCATGAAATGCGACCTGTGAATAAATGAGTTCGGTTTAAGTCCACAGAAAACAGTAAAAACAAGAAAGAAGTGAGCAAAGCTCACATACCCCCGTTATCCCCGCTGGTCAACAACACATAGTAAATAGTTTGTTAATTAAAGATTTTAACTTCAATGTTTTAAAAACTAAGATTGAGTTCCCAGTGACAATTGCCCCCCCCCCCCCCAATCTCCCATGTTACCAGTGTTCACTACGAGGAAGTAGATCACCATGAACACCTTTGAAGAAAAAATTGATTGAGGAGTTACATAAGAAGAATTATCAAAAGGACCAAAAATTGTTGATATAAGAACACATAAAAAATGGAACACTATTATATAAGAAAATCAATAAATTAATAATTTCCATTTAGCCTTAACAGATATGGTAAAGAATTAATAAATTCAAACTGTCACAAAGCACAGATACTTATGATGATCTACATGTGTGGAAACAATTTTTGAAAATATATTAGCTATACAAAACCAGTCATCAAAATTTCTAAATTCCATAAAGTTTCCAAGAAAACAGCAAAAGACAAAACTTTCAGAATGTTATAAAAGATAAAAAACAATCATAGCCGTTAATGTAGCAAGTTTGCTGAAGCTAGGATACATAATATTGTAAACATGGATCTTACAAAAACTCCATCCAAAATTTATGTTTCACCATGTTCACCATGATTCCATGGAAACGGCAAAAATAAAAAAATTCAGAATCTTCAAACTAGCAAAACGCACAAGTACTCGTTGTGGTTAATGTGGGTAGAAAGTTTGGTGAAGCTAGGGTGTATAGTTAAAAAGATATAGGCCGTACAAAACACCCACCCTAAAAGTTTAAGTTCCTAATGTTTCCATGGAAATTAAAAAATTCAGAATCTTCAAACTAGCAAAAGGCACAAGTACTCATTGTGGTTAATGTGTGTAGAAAGTTTGGTGAAGCTAGGGTGCATGGTTAAAAAGTTATGGGCCGTACAAAAGCTCGGACGGAAGGACGGACGAACGGAACGCTTCGTAAACGGGGGTATAATAACATATCTATCATCATGCTGACAAACTTTGGATATCGTAGCCGGGTGAATCGAAGATTCGAACACTAGATCTACCAGCGACACCAAGCTAGCCAGGCTAGGGGGCGCAACTCTGCACAGTTGCGGCGCCTCAGATAACTATCGTCAGGATATATTTGTGAACAGTAATTGATAATCGTAAATTGGGATTAATAGACACGAACCAGCTTTTTTGCTTTTGGGGAGTCGTCGTTTCATATCTGTGTCTTGGTATTAACGTCGCATGTATATAGTGCTGAAAGAAAACAAATAAATCCGATATATTGCAAGGCATAACTGACGCTTGACGATAGAAAACAGTTTTACATCCGCTTAATGTACAGCGGTACAACAGCTTGTAGGTTACCGCCGATGTCAGTAAAAAAAAAAAGGCAGTAATTTAGCGGTTAATAGTGGATTACACATAGAGAGAATCTAGGTGGACTGAAGTTTACAGAAGAAATGCCTGCACTATTTTTACCAAAACACAAAGGACCGAAAATGTGCCCGAGCTATTATTCTGCATACTAACATGTGTGTGTATGTATAATGATGACATATGTTTGTCAATAGCCTGTCCACACAATAACTTTGAACCCTGGGACATATAGAGATTGTAAATAATCTGTAATATCTGGCCTAGCCATACGCCATGCTAGCTGGCACGTAGAAGGCAAAGGAGTCCACAAGCGATCTGTGATTTGTAAATTATGCATCGATCTTGGGTTTTAGTTCGTTTAGCTACTTTAACAGATGCAAAAGTAATCACACCCCTTGAATGTACTCGTCAGTGATAAAATCCCTGCCTGAGCCACTTACTGCCGTTGCGAATGTTAGGTTTGTCCGCCATATGTAATGAAAGCGAACTTCCGGGTGTCACCTATTTTCGATGTAGCCACGGGCGCGTCATGTAACACATCGTGTATAGCTCGAGAGAGACTCGGCTGCTGTCTAGTAACGTGTAGGCTCACTTGAGTATCGGGATATTATTTAAAGATGACGTCCATTTACCACCTACACTTGCCGTCTTGAAAGTGTAAATAATTCAAATAATTCGTTTTGAGAAAGCGAAAGTACGATTCGGCGAATAACATGTTTATTGTGTCGTTTTTCATAGACCAGAGAGTATCTATTATATGGTCTCTATAAAAAGACGAAGAAGAAAACACATGCTTGTAAGAAGGACTCGCCACATAAACATATCCTTGTATAATTAACTTTTAAAAAATCAAATGGAAGATACTATTCGGAATAAAAATACAGACCAATTTCATTTCAGGCTTACTCCGATCAGAGACCATACAATTCTATCATGTCTTCATCCTGTTAGTGTAAAAAGTCCTCCACAGCAGAAATTACGTCATCGCGTCATTTACATTAAGCGGATCCAGAGGGGAGATCTGGGGGTTCGGACCAAGTTTAGAATGTTGTAGACAAACTACCCCACGTCGACCCCCACCCCCACCCCCACCCCCACTGAGAGAGGATTTTGTTACTGTAACCGCTCACTTTTAGAAATGCTGGAACCCCCCTTGCAATATGCTTGCCAATTTGCCAGACAGTTCTTTCTTCAAGTTTAAGAGTGAGTGAGTTGGGTTTAACGCCGCTTTTAACAGTATTCCAGTTATATCACGGCGTGTCAGCTTAATGTGGGAGGAGAGCCCGAAGTGATGCAGGTCTCAGACGTTTACCACTTCGGTGAAACCCACGAGCACGGGTATGGTGCTGACAAACCTAGAAACATAATCGGGGCGAACCGGGATTCGAACCCACAATCATAGGTTTCTGGCGTGTCCAAGGGACGCAACTCTGCACAGCGAATCGCGGCGCCTTAGACGTCTGGGCCACCCGTGCCCCCTCAAGTTTAAGAGGGAAGAGGTGTAAATCTGTAATCTAAATCTTCAGTGTATTTGACCACATTACTGTAGTTGTTTAATATACAGTCTAGCTTTGAATAACGAACCCGGTGCCGGCTCGTTTTTCGTTATTCGAATAACGAATAACGAACCCACTGGAAATACGGTATCTTATATTTGTTATGCCAAGTCTGAATAACGAACCCGGTGCTGGTTTGTTTTTCGTTATTCAAAAGTACCGAATAACTAAACAGCTTTTGGATGATGATGTAAGACGAACCTGCTGTCATATATTAAATGAGTTTCAGTGTATTTGACCACATTACTGTAGTTGTTTAATATACAGCCTTCGAATAACGAACCCGGTTCTTGCTTGTTTTTCGTTATTCGAAAAACGAATAACGAATAACGAACCCGCTGCTAACTTCAGGCCCCTTAAATCTGTGTGGTGGACACGGACGATGTTCAAGGAGTTCAAAGCCATTCGTCCATTGCAGCTATGACAACTTTACGGACTTGTGCACAGGTGCACTGTCCTTGTGGAACAATACAAATTAGTGAGTTATCCGGGATGTTTTGCCTTGACATACTCGCACAGTTGCCGAAGCGGATTAGCATAGATTTGGTCACTCTAATGGTCTGACCATTCAGGAGCGAGTCCACCAGTAGGATTCCTATAGAATCCCAGAACACCGAATCCTTCGCTTTGCCAGATAATGGAACAGACTGAGATTTGGCTTTTTTCTTCGGGGGAAGCCTTAGATGTTTCCACAGCTTTTTGACTGTTGTTTAGTGTCTGGCTGATAGTGGCGAACCCAAGTCTCATCTATAGTTACCAATCGCTGAACAAAATCAACTAGGTCTCCTTCAAAACGATCTACGTTCTCACCTGAGACTATGAACCTGGAGCGTTTATTATCGGTAGCGTGATGGTGAATAGGTCTTCAGCAACCCATGCTTTCTGTAAAAGCGTCAGGCTCGCTGACTTGCATGTCATCGCATTCAAATTATGTAGATCGATGCTCATGATGTCAATCACTGGATTATCTGGTCCAGATTCGCTTATTTACAGACCGCCATCATATACCGTATTTTCTTGAGTATAGTGCGCACCCGTGTATAATGCGCACCCCCCTCTAGCGGGTTCAATATTTTGAGAAAAAAAAAGAAATTTGAATATTATGCGCAGAAAAAAATTATACCGTACCCTTTCAGCGAAGTCCGGCAAACGAACGGGTGATGAGAAACTTCGTCAGTACAAATTCGAAATTTGAGATAAAAAATCACCAGACATGTTTATTTACCGATTAAATAGTATTTATTGTTCTGCTAGGCATTGTTTTATATCCAGGGATTAAGATTACCTTGTGTATTGTCTCGTAAACTAAGCCGGAAACAGCAATCAGCTGTACACACGTTTTCTTGGAATCGACCGGTGATTCGGTCAAGACACACCCAATGATATAACTTTATATGATTTTTAATGCAAGGATCGGCAAAAATTGTATCTGAAACTATTTTTTTTATCAGGAATAATATATTCCATTATTTTCTTAATTATATGCAACCTTTACTAAACATATTTAAAATAATAATAACCCTAAGCGAAGCAGCTGATCGCTATTCCCGGGTATTATATTTTACATGGAACCAATCTGACCAGTCACCGTCAAGGCTCACGCGCACATGATCGCGTGATCGCGAGAATTTCATGTTGACATAGAATCGTCAAACAAAAACAAATATGACTTTTAACGAGTCAAAGTATGTCATTTATGATATATGTATCCATTCTCTGTCAACTAAAGTTCGTTTCAAGGCGTCAATAGCGGTATTCTGACCGTGGTTTCTGTTAATAACGGTGAGTTGTGCGATCTTCCGATCGCTTCACACACGATTTCGCCGAAATTAATAAAAACAATATTAAAAGGAATTTTGAATAAAATTAATGAAATAAGTTACAAACATAAGTCCAGATATACAAATAACACTTTTTATAGCCAGACAGTGTAATTACATGATTATTTTGCGTAATTCAGGTGGTCAGGCTTGCTGACTTGGTTGATGCATGTCATGGTATCTCCATTGCGTGGATTGATGCTCATCATGTCAGTGGATTGTCTGGTCCAGACCCGATTATTTCCAGACCATGGTCATATAGATGGAATATTGCTGAGTGCGGCGTTCAACAACAAACAAACAAACAAAACATCATTAGCGTTTTCTTAGTGAGGCATCTTAGAGGCTTTCTCTTTCCCGCCAATGCCCAACTTTTGTTTGTTTGTTGTTTAACGCTGCCCTCAGCAATATTCCATCTATATGACCATCGTCTGGAAATAATCCGGTCTGGACCAGACAATCCACTGACATGATGAGCATCAATCCACGCAATGGGGATACCATGACATGCATCAACCAAGTCAGCAAGCCTGACCACCCGATCCGTTAGTCGCCTTTTAAGGCAAGCATAGGTTGCTGAAGACCTATTCTACCCTGGATCTTCACGTTCATGCTACTGATAATAAATGCTCCAGCTTCTCTTGGCTGTGAAAATCATGGCCAGGTATGGTTTGTATGTTGTCCATTCTGGGTCTGAGTCTGGATTGACAACAGAAGCATTGATCAATGCAATTGAGATATGATGACATGTGCAACATAACCTGACCACTGAATCCATTCTGTGGCATCTTTGGTTGCTGGGGTTGTTTTTTCAATCCAATGATGTTAATCCCTGGAATGTATGGTCCAGACTCGATTGTTTTTATAAGAGATCACCGTCAAATAGCTGGAATATTGCTGAGTGTGCCGCTAAACAACAAACAAAACAAACTGGGGACCCATTCTGCCCTGGAATACCCACAGGGATAGAGTCTTGATCTTGGCTTGTGGGCCACCTTCATGAAAGGGTCAAATCTTCTTGCCTCCCATTCTGATACAAAATACATAACGTAGTTTGCTTTTATAATTGGTAAGTTTATTGGTCTATGAATGGTTTATTCCTATGGAAACACAGGACTGATTGGACAACCTCCAGTGATGATGGGTTTTGACAGTAGACATACCCTCCTCATCGCACATGACTGAGAGCAGCTTCTGTCAGACACTGGACACATAGTAACTGTACAGAAAAAATCTCAGCAAATATCAACATTACATTCCCCTGCATCACAATAACCCTTATGGAAATTTGATTGCTTTTAACAATGCACTTGGCACCAAACAGCATGGTACATCAACACCTTTGTACAATTTTTTAAAACGCAAAGCTGCAAAAAGAAAATATTTTGATAAAGATAATTTAGATACGACTCATGATTTACACATATTTTCATAAAAATATACACACAATTGAGTTAATTACAAAGTGATTGGATAAATCAAAAATATTATCTCCATAGCAAACAGTCCTCTAAGCTCTAACTCTTTTTAAACCTGAAGCATTATGAGCCCAAAATGTAAGATTCTCTTATATTGAAACTCTTGACTAGGTAAGATTGATGAATTGATATCAATATATTGATTCTATGTCAACAAGTGAGTGGACAGTGTGTGACACATCTACACAACACAACAGTGAAACCAGGAGGTGTCCCAGGTTGTCATACCATCTGTTCTCCATGCTGACATGAACTGCACAGGACAAGATATTACTCTTCAAATCAATTCTACCGAGAAGCAATCCTATCAACATGATCAATACTGTACATTCTGGTTTAGTGAACTACCTTAAAATTTAACTGATAATTTTGAATCTCTTATATCCAAACGGTGAAATCCTACTTGTAGCGTGGTTGGTTTCTCTGGAAATTCCAGGCTTTCTGTCATTAGAGTTGAAAACAATATATTCTCTTTCATACTCCAGTTATTCCAAATAATGATAATGTGTCTGTGAAATAGTACAGAAAGTGTGAAAAGTATCCAAATGAAATAATACCTTTGTACTAATCCCATAAGCATGGCTATTATTAAATACATTTCTTAGTATGGAAAGAAATATCTTCTTGTTTATGAAAGGTTACAATAAATACAACAAAATGTGTTAGATTAAACATTTTTGTTTACAACGCTTTTAGCAATATTCCAGCAATATCACGTCAGGGAACACCAGAAATGGGCTTCACACATTGTCCCTATGTGGGAAATCGAACCCAGGTCTTGGGCGTGACGAGCAAATGCTTTAATCACTTGGCTACC